GTTTCAGTCATCGATCGGATACCTTGTGTAATGCTAATGCCGGGCGGCGGTACTATAACTTTCAAGCCTTATAACTCCAAAAGTACTCAATAAATAATAACTTTATTATAATATTTTGGAAAGCTCCTGACATCGACTATTAGATTTTGGAATAAAAAATAGGGTGTTCCATTTTAAAAAATCGACGTGAGCTTAACCTTATCTTGACGACACCACTCAAGATCAAACTGATGAGATCAGTAAATAGATTTTTTAAATTCCAAAATTTTTGTTTGAACATTTTTACGATCGGATACCTTATCGTGCGAAGAAGGGTGAGATGGATGATCTGAAACACCCGATATAATATATGTCATTATGTATGCGTAATAAGTCATCTAAGTGTCATTATACCGAATCGAAAGATATTAACTAGTCTACAATTATGATAAGTTGTATAATGTGGTCTTTAAAAGCATTTATGTATATTGTGAAAAAAATGTATAAATAGCAAACAATCGTTACCTTACTCGCATTTGTGATATACGTGTCTATCGATACAGTTCAATTATATTATTTTATTGTTGCAACCCAAAAAGTCATAACGGACTTAATTATTAAAAGACACACGCATGTTTAAAAAATTACTAATTTGCGCAACTTATTGCATGCTATAAGTAAATGCAATTTGTTGTGAAAAAACCAAAGTGGAACATTAAAACCTTGAAATCCTTTGTTACAATAAAAACAGAGAAACACCGAACATGTCGCTTTTTTCCGACAATCTGTTAACTTTTGTGATTTAAACAACATTTTACTGTAATATTTTCGCTGCAACTATATTAGAGAACTATAATCGCAGACAAAGCAAAACAATAATTCTGCTGATATGGTTTAATTACAAAATATATTTAATTAAAACATCTGTGCAATAATTCTCTTGAAACTCGAAATTTTAATTCTTAAGACAGATTCGTATCCTAACAGTGAGTCTCATTCTGTACTTTAAACGGCACAGCATTATTGTTTGTTAGCTATTTGCTACGATAAAAAATGGGGTATTCTTTGTTTGCCATGCTAATTCTGTCGACGCCGATTGTGAGCTTTGGACTCAAAGTAAATGTTATTCATAAATGGAAATATTGTGAGTATGAGTGGAAAAGTGAGCAGCAGAAGGAAGACGCAATAAATTCTTGCACTTATGACCCTTACACGTGTGTGTTGATGCAGACAAAGCAGAAGGTTAGTTGATGCTAGATTATTCTTAAAAAAGTGTTGTAAAAATTTTATTTAAAAATATGAATATTTTTATTAGTGAAAGTTTAACTTACGATTATAAAATTTAACTAATATCTACGAGTATATAGTCACTTTAAGATTTTTACTTTTTATTATACATTCTCTCTCTCTCTTCAATATTGATAATGAAATGATATTATCTTGCTGCTACAAAAACTTACGGAATGAATATATATATATTTTAGCACACAAATTTCATTCACAAACAAAACTCTTATAGATGGTAGAGTATTCGTTACTGCGCGAAGAGAATTAGATTCTGGTGCACCTGCTACTCTGGCGACAGTAACTCATAAGACAGGACCAGGAGGTCCACTTCTGCGTCCTTATCCAGATTGGAGTTGGCATAATAGTAGTTGTATATGTAATGGTATTGTAAATGTTTACCGAGTGCATGTAAGTATTAATATCATTTTTTCAAGTAGCGTTACATCATACATGCACATTTAGATATTATTATTTAAATGTCCAGGTTTTTACGCATACCTACGTACTAAAGATGTATCCAAATATGAATAGAAGTAAAGTTCGATTCTATTCAGATTCGTATCTTTATGATTTAAATCTGAACTATTTGAAAATTTCTAATTTAATTGTAAGAGATTTGGACACGAATATGTATTGACAATCTTATATATACGTATTATATTAAAAAATATATATATAAATATATTTCATACATTAGAAATTTTTTTCATTACTTTATATATTTACTATATATTAAAATTCAACCTATAACAATAATTACGTTGTTGTTAACTAAAAGTTATATTTCAATAATTCGATCCGATTCGGATTCGATTTGATTAAACATTAAAAAATCTTGATTCGCACTTCTCTAGTACAATACATATCTACACAATGATCAGCTTGATGCAGAAAATAAAGAAATTGAATTTTTACTTTTACTTCAGATTCAATGCAATCACATTATCATTCTGGATAACGGCAAAATCGGATCCGATCACATTTGTAATCCAAAACTGTTAATCTTTAATTTAAAGAACGATACACTAGTTAAAATAATTTACATCCCACTTGATATTGCAACTAATCGAACAGGTGCTGGACATTTAGCAATACCTATTGTTTATTAAACATGCAAGCGATTCCTGGATGAAATGATTGTGAGAACATCTTCTTTTAATAGTATATTTCATTATAATCATAGTATGATAAAATTCCAGAATAAAATTGTGATAAAATTATTTCAGTCATACTGTTATCAAAAGATAAATTAATCAAAAGTTAACATGAGTAGATCCTCATTTTTTAAAATGTTGTTAGCATATATCAAACAAGATATAATTTATTAATTATATATGTTAAGCGACCGATACGCATTTAACAATTCTCCCCTATATCTGTAATTTAAATGATTTAAATAACACATAAATATATACAGAGATTTATAGCTGATATTCAAGGTTCCGGTTTAATAGTTTATGACTCATCTAAAAAAAGTATATGCAGAATCGAATCTGATTTCATGAAATCAGCTGATGTTATTGTCTCTGTAGCAGGCCAAAATTTTACTTATACAGGTGGTATCTTGAGTTTGACAATCCTTGACGATGGCAAGTATTTGCTTCTTAATGAACATTATTTTGAGATTATTTTATTAACAATGAACATTATTTAAATTATTTTAACATTATTTTATTACGAGTGTTATGAATTTTTGTACCATTCATAATTTTTTTGTTCAATACACTACGTAAAAAACATAAAAATATGGGATCACCTATTCTACCCTTCAAAAATGGGAAGAGAGCGCAAAAAATGATTATAATAAGATGATTCAAAAACTTAAAGTCTCTACTTTTCAGATCAATGCTCTAGATAAAGAGCTGACTGAATTTTTATGAACATATACGAATACAAATATCGTAGATTCGTTAAATCTAAATATTTTATTATTTGTACAAACTTTGCAAAGTTCCATAAAAAATTAAAAATTACACACTAACGTAATTTATACCTTTCAAAAAAGTGAAGTTTTATCTTTGTATATTTATTGATTATTATGCAATTTTCTTCACCAAGCTATTCGAACATTGAAGCAAAAAGCATTTTTTAACTTTGCCTGCTCATAAAAAAAGAGCGGAATGGCGCTCAATTGAAAACAAATAGAAAAGTTTAGATTTTCTTTTTAAGGTGCATATAACATTTTTTTCAATATAAAGAAACTTTTCTTATGTAAACTTCGCTTAAATGCGGCATTAAAAATTCAATATTGGTTCATACATTTACCACACGTTGCTCTTCATTAGATAAATTTTCCAGTAAAAACGCTATTTTTTCACTTAACAAGTAAACTGGATGCTAAGGCAACTGATTGTGCTCCTTGTCAATATTTCCTATTCAAGAACACATGACGTTACGTGCACGTCATGTTCACATAACATTGCGTATACAGCAAACATCAAATATGCATAACAGACATTTTGATATTATCGCCAAGGATGGCTGCCACAACGCCTGTCTCTTTTTTATTCGAGCAATCTAATACATTTATGCACGCAACTAACAGTGAAACTTAGAAAACTGTCTTGCAAATAATCGATTTCACTGATTCCTATAACCTTTTCACATTGCATTATAAATATTTTAGATCTTTATTATGCTTCTTTATCGGGAAATGAAATCTGTAAAATAAAAATAGAGACACTATTAAAATGTCCAAATAAAAAAAAAGCTAATAAAAATAGTAAACTTGTGAAAAAAATTGCAAACCCAATATTACCGATAGCAGCAGCGGAACATGTAATATTTTACAGCAATGTTCAGAATATGTCTGTACTAGGTACAAACATTTATAAAAAGTCTAAAAATACGGTAAGATATTCAAATATAATTGTTATTTACATATCAATCAATAATAAATTATTTTGACTTCTATTAACGATTGTTGTATCTAATAATTGTTAGTATTGTTTTAATGCGTAAAACAAAATATTAATTTTAAGGTGGTACTTGCGCAAGATTCCAAAAAATTGCAATTTATATCTGGGCTGAAATATTCAAGCTACTGGGACCAGCTAACGTATTTTTCAGATAGATATCAGCATTTCGTTCTTGGTACAGTGAACCTTAACGAAATACACTTCCGCTATATGGAAATGGATTTAGCAGACATACAGGAAAAAACAGATTTGTTTTCTAAAACCAAGACTAGCAAGTCTTTGTTTTCAATATTTTAACATATGTAGGTACGATTTAAATTTACATATAAAGTGCTTGTTATACAAGACAAAATAAAAATCAGACGAAATAAAAAAAGTAGGTTTACGATTATAAAAAAAAATTGCAACGTAATTTTATATATATTTATTCTTTTATTGGCAAATGTTTACGGTTTAACTAATTGACACATCAGCAAATAACAAACTACTTTGAAAGAGTTATGTAAATACATACAATCTTGACCTAATGCTGTTTTCTGAATATAGGTTCATGAAAACGAATTATTTCGATATAAATAGTATAATATATTAATAGCATGACACAAATTGCCATTTCGATACAAAGATATAGATATTAAAGTTCCAGAAGCTAAGACAAAACGAAAATTATAAATGTTTTTATATAATATTTTTGTGATATTTTTTATTAACATTTTTCAAATGCTAGCGAATATTAGATTTAATTCATACAGATCGTCACACACGCTAACCGATGCTATAAAATTCGAATTTTTCGCAAGCGTAACAAATTCAAGCATGAGCGAGTTCGGAAACAATACAAAGGAAACTTGGAAACCCGCAAAGAAAGCAATCGTCGCGCAATTCAGGGAGATCAGGAGGAAAGGAAAACGCCGGAAGTGAACAGGACACGGAAACGGTGGTTCTCGCCCCAAATTCCGCTCGTTCACAAGCAAAGAGAAAATCCAGGGTGGTGGTTTTGCATTCACCGAGATGATCTCGAGGTGGCTCGCCGAAGAAAATTGCAAGGAAACCAATTCAATGGTAGATTTTCTGTTTTTTCCCTGCCGTTTTCTTCACGAATAAACCGAAAGGAATCGGAAATTACCACATAATCGCGATTAATCCGAAGCGATTATCTAACGTAAAAAGTCATACGTAACGAGCATTTTTTCTTTCTTCTAATAGGGATTTTCTATCATTCCAAACACTTCACTAATATATAGAACAGTTTCAAAACTTTCTCATTGTCCGTTTTACCAGTTATCGATACTGTAATGAATTTGCACAATCTACTTTTCATCAAAATTTTATAAAAAATCTTCAATTCTTACAATCTTCATCAATTGCAAGAATAAATGCATTAGTTTTAATATTTTAAATCATTTAAAACTTAATTTAAATTCGTTGAAATATAAAAAATGATTTTGTTATTTATTTATGCCATTCAAGATTAATTTATCATAAAGTTTTTTAATATAAAATAATTAATAATAAAATTTTTCGATAAAAAAAATATATTCACTTCATATCAATTGTATCGTGTGCTATAAACAACAAATTTTATTCAATTAATAATAATATATTTTAAAAAGATTTCTCAATTATAAAAAATATGTGGCATATTAATGCAATACAGCATTCAATAAATTAAACAATTTGACTTCAATATCACAAATTCTGTTCTTGGAATTTTACGGTTTTGGTTTGTGCTTTAATAAAATTATTGTCAGAATTATTTATATCAATCACAATCAGAATTATATATAAGGATCCAATAAACACGGCTTTATTTCTTTCCGAGATATTTTGTCGAGAATTATTTGTGCAAAGTACTCGCAAATCTTTTTAACCACACGTTTTTCATCTTACTCAGCATTTTCTTCCGTAATTTCGCGAAAAGTAGGTTGAATACAAGTTGCAGTCATCTCGAGGTGCATCGTCTTGGAGCGATTGCACCATCTGACTCTGCTGCTCTGATTACACAGATGTTCGCAAATAAATATGAGATACAACGAAAGTAAACCGCATTATCTCTACTCGAAAATTTCGTCTGAATTATAAAATATTTATATATGTATTTGCGGACTAAGATATAAAACTTAAGCTTTAAAATCGTAAGAAATTAATCATAGTTACCACAGAGAAAGGTTTCTTCGATTTAAAGAAATGTTTCTTTGCTATACGGTCAATGATTTTCAAATCATAATTTGAACGTCATTTCTTGGATTTAAACATAATTTCTTTAAATCAAATAAATTTTATTTTATTTTAAAAAATATTTAAATCAAAGAAATTGAACGGAAGAAATTGAATCGAAGAATTTGAACGGTTTAAGGTTTAAAGTTTAAATTTTAACTTAAAATTTCATTTTGACGTCTACGCCGTTTATAATCTCGTTATAGATGTCGTTTAGGAGGCAATTTCCACAATAGATTGTATTGACAGTAGTTCTAGATATAAAATAGAATAATGCCAACATTTAAACTTAATCGTAAAATTTAGAAACAGGACAGAGATACAATTGTTTTAATGTGATATGAGTTGCCTATCCTCCATAATTAGTGAATAAATAATATCTAAGATATTTATAAGACGATAAGATGTGATTTGCAAAGAACTAAAATGTACTTACTACAATAACAAAATTAATTGCACATTATATCGTATTATCTTATAAATATATTATTTACGCACTAAATTCTAGTTTACGCGAAGATTCATATAGGCAATTTATTCTTGAAGCCACAAAATTATTTTTATTTTAAATGTGTTTTTTAATCAATATTCAGTTTGTCTTGTTCAGGTTGTCAACAGAAATGTAATGTTAATTTACGCAATGATATTGTCGTTTATTTAGACAAAATATTGTCAATACAATTATAAATATTAGTCAATACAATTATAAATTTATAAGTTTAAATTTTCATTTGCAGAATTTTTCTTTTTTTGTCGCAATAATAACTTTTAACAAGCATAAAAGAACTAAATTAACAATGAATGTTCATGCATAGATATTCGTACATTTTAGTACGATACGTGCAAAGTGAAAAAGTTGCTTAATTTTTGCGGAAACAGTGAGTAGCAACCAACTTAAGGTAATTGAAAGTAATATATAGCTATGACGAACAAAATTCTCAGTGGATTTTAAAAGCAATAGAGAAGTAGAGAACACGCTTCTGAAATTGACGGATTACAAAGAGAAAAGCACAAAGCACCACAGTGTTTTACACAGAAGCTACGCCGCAAACTACACGCAAACTGCTCTCAAAAGTTAAATAATGAGAATAAACAGAAAAGTATGACCGTCCAAGAGCATACTGCAAATTTTATTTTGTTAAAAAACACGATCTTTTTCGTCTTTTTACATATCTCATAATGACTGATTTGTAAAACTATTTCGAAACAAAAAAGCGTTTTGTTCTTATCAATTACATCACAAGCACAAACGAAAGTCTGTAAAAGAGCTTTATTCATAATAGATTATTAACGTTACTTACAAAAGTCTCGAGCATTTCAGAAAACTTAGATTTAAAAATTAACAGATCGTTTCTTATATACTTCGACACAATAAAAGTTCTTTCGCACAATTAATCAAAAGCTAGCCACTTTATCCTTCTAAAAACAACTAAATTTTCATTCTATACATTCATGCATTTAAAGATAAGAAAGAAAAAATGCCGAAAGAGTTATTCGTGATACAAAACCTTTAAAAGCGTAAAAGATTACTAAACACACTGTTTAATCCAAATCATCAAGAAAGGTTTTCTTCTTTATCTAGAAAAAGAGAGTTTTAACTAAATGGAGAATGGATTTTCTAGCAAACTCATCATTTCTCTATCTGTGTTTTAGCTAGGAATAAATAGAATATAACAAATGTAATTACAAGAGTTACTCATTAATGAGGACATCGCGTCGCTTCGTTGTTCTAAAAGCGCGACAGCATCGCGACAAAGTTTCGCTAAAAAGAGACCCGAGCAACGAAAGATATTTTTATTATACACGGTTGGGCGAATCGTCTACTCGCACAATGCAACCTTCATAAACCATCGCCAACCGCGATCGCTGCCACGATGCACGGTAACGATAACTCGTGGGTGTTCTGGCGTTTCGTTGCAGGCCAGCTCGTTGCGCGAGTCGTTCGCGGCCGTTTGCATGAAATTATCGTGGGCGCTTGCAAGTTTTACCGCTGGGATACAAAAAGCGACGGTATACTAACAAGTGCGCCACGCTAACTTGCGGCCAACTCGATGGTTGCTTGTTTTCCGTAGAGGGTATCCCTCCAGCGATTACCATTGTTTCTGTTGATAGCGAGTTTGTCGACCAATTTAAGACGAACTTTTTGTTGATTCATTTATAACTTCTTAACCATAAACATGAATTATTTCAATACTGAATATACATAAGTAGAGTATAGTTTTTAAATAAAGAAAATTTATTTAAACCTACACGAAGAAAATATTAGGACATAAAATAAAAAATTCTTTTTTTAATATTTAATTAAAAGACAAAGACATAATATTACAATATATAATCATAAATATAAAAATTATAAAATTATAAAACTATAAAAGATTATATTTTAAAATTTGTTACAAATAAAAATTTATAAGATTTATATAATAATAATGTTTATGTAATTTGTCAATTTCTTTTTAAACAAATTACTATGTTAATATTGCAATTTTATTGCAATATTTTCTTCGTGTATGTATATGAATCCCTAGGTAAATTATACAGATAATAATTATAATATTGAATTAATTTCGTATCGAAGCCAATCTCGAAACTCTTTCAGTTTAATATTTTGACTGCCAAACTAGTTTTAACTTAATATAAATGCTTTTTTAATATAAAAATTTAGTGTATTATTTTAACAGCTTTAATTTTTTAAATATTTTAATATAATTTGTATTAAGGTAAGATTTAATTAAAAATATTATTAAGCACCAAAATTCACTTTGACTGAATATGGCCAATATCTTTGTTTATTTTTGTTGATCACTCCTCGATCAATTTTACTTATTATAAATTAAATTCAATCAAGTAATTTGTCGCAAATGCAAATTGCAGAGTAACGGTGAGACTCGGTACATAGAGAGTATAAAAAGGCGCGCTCGTAAATGCGGCAGAAACTTTAGCAATTAATTTTGTATCTGAGTGCACTTTATTCTACTGCGCGATACTTAATGGCAGCGCCGAGATAAGGATTGTTTGCGTTTAGAGCGGGAATGCATTACCATGTACAAACACGTGCGGAATAGTTCCGTATTCGTGGTGCACTTGGGAAGAGTAGAAAGAAAGAAGGATTGAGAGAACGGTATCGATTTTCAAATCCATCCTAAAGCGAAAACAAAGAAAAATAAATACGGAGATGTACAAATCGCAATATTCAATAATTGTATATTTAATAAACTGTAATATGGCGATCGATAACTGGATACATTTTATAACAAACAAAACAAGATACTTTATATCAAATTTAAAAATAAAACGACATTTGTGTCAAGAGACACTGAATAATAAGAATAATAAACGCACGGTCGAAAAATGTAACTTGAAATTTACCGATCTGTTAACAGCGAACGCGTTAAATAGTCTCTGTACTTTACGATATAGTAGTTAATTACTGCCAGCAAGCACGAAGTTCCTTTGTCCTACAACTCTCGTTTTCCACAATCGCAACTAAATTTACCAGATTCTCGTTGCCGGTGAGTTTCTGCCGTCGACGAATTGCGTGACGTACAATTTGCAAGTGGAAACTCCACCTTCGCGTTAGCGATACGGTGACATGGTCCAGATAGCATACTTAACCCAGCAGTCTCTAAACTGAAATAGCCGATAAATCTCATCGCAGTCAGATAACGAGACAAAGTCAAGAGTGTGTCTACTTCGATTGAAAATATTTTTAGAGTCTACTTGTTAATATATATATATATATATACACACACACATATATACAGTGCATTTTTTTCTTTTGCCTACATATTATTAAACAGCAATAATAATTAAATAAACGTCTTTAAATAATATGACATTTAATTATAAATGTTTTACTGTCAGACAAATTTTTTAAATGACATGTTTCACTTCGTGCCTTTTCATTATTTTTCCAATTTATCCAACATGCCATGTTTTTCGAAATAACTAAAAATATATGTGTCGCATTTTAAACTGCATCAACACGATTTAATTCAGTAACAATAACAGCTGAATTTTAAAGTAATTATTATTTCGATTACTATTTCATTATTTTGACATAACATCATTTGCCAGTGTTGTTCACTGAGATGCAAAACATGCTAGGAATTAAATTTTCAATATCGAAAACTTTGATAGTATGTTCAACAGTGTAAGACATGATACACAATGGTTACCTACAGATTTAAAAAATTACTAATAAATTCATTAATAAAATTCATTCATGAATTTCTTAATAATATTTAATTTTTATTAGTAACTATATATTGTGAAAACGAATTTAAGTATGGTAACGAGCCGTGCAATGAAATGTTAGAGAATCGATTACAAAAACTCTCCTTCGTGTTTAATCATTTATATGATTTCCATACTAATAGTTTTCCTTTCCGAAATCCATCTCTGATAATATTTAGAAGCGCATTATAAGAATTACAAAATCTAGATACGTAAATACAATACGTCGCAAGTTCTCTATTTCGTTGTATATCGGACATCTGCTGATCTGCACTCGGTTTTGTGGGATGCTGATGTGGCACGTAAAGAATTCTTCGTCACATTTCTTCTCGCGGTGATAAGTCAGACTTTAAGAGACCACGATCGCAGATACCTTATCTATGGTCTCCCTTTAAAAATGCATTTCCACCGTCGATGTATGCGCGCAAAACCATCCCGAAATTTATCTGGATGTACGTTATCGTTACCGTAATCGTTATCGTTATTGTCGTCGGTTGGAGTAGAGTTTGGAAATTACGAAAGACAGAATTTTCACTGCGCAGGCTATTATTAAGTCGTGATATAGATAACTATCGATCATTAACTCTATCGACTGTTTTTAACGCGACGCGTATCGTGAAGGATGGAAAGTATTAACCTCGTAAAGGCTCAAGAGCTCCATCAATCCTGCGATGTTTTTTTTGTCGAGAAGTATAGAACCTTTCATATTTCGTTTAAACAAGCTCTCGCGTACTCTTTTTAGTACTTTTTAATAGAATCTACAATATTCTTACTCTATTAAAATAAAAACAGTATTGTATTTTTTTTATTTATTAATTATTTATAACTATAATATATCTATATTATTCTA